TTGTATGTAAACATACGTCTTGTTATATTCTCATTCATATTGTGGCATCCTCTGGTAATACTATTCGTGTTTAGGATGAGATGGACAATGCTGAAGTGGCCGAGAAACCGGCGGAAGCCAAACCCGCATCCGCCAAACCAAAATCTGGCAGGAAAAGTATAAACAAAAAGAAGAAGCCTGCGACGAGTAAGAAAGAACTGCAGTTTCATGACGTGACACCCGGAGCGCCGCCCGGATTAACTGTAGACTCAGCTGCGACCAGCAAATCACGGAAACGTCCGGTAAGCGTGTGTATTTACACTGTACCGAGTTCTAGTGTATTTTATTTGCAAGTCTTGTTTTACTTGACGCACTTCCCAAGCACAGAAGTAGCAGTCCATATTGAATGTGCAGAAGCTAATTGAATTTGCGAAGCATCTAACCAAGTAGGTGACAAATCAACAAGTAGATTTATGTCAGTTCGTACATTGGATATATCGATAAACACATACAGGATATATCAATAAATACACGCAGCACGATTACTCAAGTCCAAGCATATCTCACACACTGTCACATCGATAGGTGGAGAATAGGGTGTCACGTGTCAACGAGAAGAAGAAGCCCATGATACGAGTGCGCAGTAATAGTGTCTCGGCACTTGGGGACGGGAAAGAGACCAAACAGCCACCGCCACGGTCTGAAATTTTGCAATGGCAAGGCGAATTGGAAGACATAAATCTCGGATTTGGGTATGTACGGATAGACATCCCCGTGGTCTTTAGTTGTGTGATGGTCCAGTTCGATACGATGCGATTTCAATGGTGTGGTGGGTTGAGGCGACGAATTGTTCGTCCATACAGGTGCACTGACGCATTAGCCTGAGTGGGTTTGTGAGCCGCGTCTATCCGTTTTTATATCAATTCGTTGCCACGAAGTTGATGTGAGTATTCGTGTTCGACCAATTTTTATGCTGAAAATGTCTAAATTGGCACTTCTTTACAGTTTCGGAGGAATGGATACAAACCTGTTCAGCGGTACGAATGTGCCGAGCCAAAATAGCCATCAATATCAGCAACAAACATGCCAAAATAACCATCAATATCAGCAACAAGCAAGCCAAAACAGCAATGACAAGTACCGAAACTCGAACGCCAACTCTGATTTTGGGACGATGATGGGTCTGCAGAACACACAAAATAGAATGTACAATAACAATCTAAACAATATAGGAATGAATATACGAGACAGTTTGGGCATGGGCTTCGATTCCGGGGCGGCCATGAACTCACCCATGAATGGGTTACTAAACAATGCGACTGGAGGAGGGGATAAGCGCAATCAGAGGAACAGGGATTCTATCAACTTAAACATGTTAGGCCTAGCTAACCAAGGGCAACCGCACAACGCAATGTTCCAGGTATGTTAGCTGGGGAAGTTGGTAGGTGGGTTGTCTGCACAACCATTTTCTGGTATATTATATATTT